AAATTTGGGAAACAGTTTAATATTAAACTTTTCAAACTTTTTAAACTTTTGAAACTTTTAAAAACTACCCAGATAAAAAGTTTAAAATTTCGAATAGGAAAAATACTCAACTTTTCAAACTTTGGGAACTCCCCAATCCCTTTCCTAGACCCCAAATTTCGGAAACAGTTTAAAATTAAACTTTTTAAACTTTTTAAACTTTTGAAACTCCTGGGGAAGGTTTTCAAAGTTTCCAAAGTTTAATATTTGTCCTATTCGAAAAAAATATATTTTTTAAAAACTTTTAAAACCACCCCCAGAAGTTTTAAAAGTTTAAAAAGTTTAATATTTTTCCTATTCGAAATAATTCAACTTTTTAAACTTTTAAAACTCCCCAATCCCTTTCCTAGACCCCAAATTAGGGAAACAGTTTAACATTAAACTTTTCAAACTTTTTAAACTTTTGAAACTTTTAAAACTACCCAGAGGAGTTTTAAAAATTTAAAAAGTTTAAAATTTCGAATAGGAAAAATATTAAACTTTTCAAACTTTGAAAACTCCCCAATCCCTTTCCTAGACCCCAAATTTGGGAAACAGTTTAATATTAAACTTTTTAAACTTTTTAAACTTTTAGAACTTTTGAAACTCCTGGGGAAGGTTTTAAAAGTGTAAAAAGTTTCATATTTCGAATAGGAAAAATATTAAACTTTTAAAACTTTTAGAACCACGCCCAGAAGTTTTAAAAGTTTAAAAAGTTTAATATTTGTCCTATTCGAAACAATTAAACTTTTTAAACTTTTAAAACTCCCCAATCCCTTTCCTAGACCCCAAATTTGGGAAACAGTTTAATATTAAACTTTTCAATCTTTAGAAACTTTTGAAACTTTTAAAACTTTGTAGAGGAGTTTTAAAAGTTTAAAAAGTTTAATATTTCGAATAGGAAAAATATTAAACTTTTGCAACTTTTAAAACTCCCCAATCCCTTTCCTAGACTCCAAATTTGGGAAACAGTTTAATATTAAACTTTTTAAACTTTTTAAACTTTTAAAACTTTTGAAACTCCTGGGGAAGGTTTTAAAAGTTTAAAAAGTTTAATATTTCGAATAGGAAAAATATTAAACTTTTAAAACTTTTAATACTCCTGGGGGTGGTTTTAAAGTTTAAAAAGTTTAATATTTCGAATAGGAAAAATATTAAACTTTTTAAACTTTTAAAAGTCCCCAATCCCTGTCCTAGACCCCAAATTTGGGAAACAGTCTGATATTAAACTTTTCAAACTTTTTAAACTTTTGAAACTTTTAAAACTACCCAGAGGAGTTTTAAAAGTTTCAAAAGTTTAATATTTCGAATAGGAAAAATATTAAACTTTTTAAACTTTTAAAACTCCCCAATCCCTTTCCTAGACCCCCAAATTTGGGAAACAGTTTAATATTACACTTTTTGAACTTTTTAAACCACCCCCAGGAGTTTTAAAAGTTTTAAAAGTTTAAAATTTTTCCTATTCGAAATATTAAACTTTTTAAACTTTTAAAACCTTCCCCAGGAGTTTCAAAAGTTCTAAAAGTTTAAAAAGTTTAAAAAGTTTAATATTAAACTGTTTCCCAAATTTGGGGTCTAGGAAAGGGATTGGGGAGTTTTCAAAGTTTGAAAAGTTTAATATTTTTCCTATTCGAAATTTTAAACTTTTTAAATTTTTAAAACTCCTCTGGGTAGTTTTAAAAGTTTAATATTTTTCCTATTCGAAATATAAATTTTTAAACTTTTTAAAACCTTCCCCAGGAGTTTCAAAAGTTTTAAAAGTTTAAAAAGTTTTAAAAGTTTAATATTAAACTGTTTCCCAAATTTGGGGTCTAGGAAAGGGATTGGGGAGTTTTAAAAGTTTAAAAAGTTTGATATTTTTCCTATTCGAAATTTTAAACTTTTTAAACTTCTAAAACTCCTCTGGGTAGTTTTAACAATTTAATATTTTTCCTATTCGAAATATAAAACTTTTTAAACTTCTTAAAACCTTCCCCAGGAGTTTCAAAAGTTTTAAAAGTTTAAAAAGTTTAAAAAGTTTAATATTAAACTGTTTCCCAAATTTGGGGTCTAGGAAAGGGATTGGGGAGTTTTAAAAGTTTCAAAAGTTTAATATTTTTCCTATTCGAAATTTTAAACTTTTTAAACTGATAAAATTCCTCTGGGTAGTTTTAAAAGTTCTAAAAGTTTAAAAAGTTTAAAAAGTTTAATATTAAACTGTTTCCCAAATTTGAGGTCTAGGACAGGGATTGGGGACTTTTAAAAGTTTCAAAAGTTTAATATTTTTCCTATTCGAAATATTAAACTTTTTAAACTTTTAAAACCACCCCCAGGAGTTTCAAACGTTTTAAAAGTTTAAAAAGTTTAATATTAAACTGTTTCCCAAATTTGGGGTCTAGGAAAGGGATTGGGGAGTTTTAAACGCTTCAAAAGTTTAATATTTTTCCTATTCGAAATATTAAACTTTTTAAACTTTTAAAACTCCTCTGGGTAGTTTTAAAAGTTTAAAAAGTTTAATATTAAACTGTTTCCCAAATTTGAAGATTAGGAAAAGTTTAAGAGTTCAATACTAAACTCTCCCAATCTGGGTGCCCAGAGCTCAAAATCACATAGACCCTATTATTCCCTCGTACGGGGGGGGGGCCCAAAAACGGTTTCGCACCGAGACCAGACCCCAAAAACGGTTTCGCACCGAGACCAGAATACGGTGGTGTTTTCGACATTTTTCGAGCATTTTTGGGTGTCTGAGCGCAAGAGGGTATTGAAATGGAATTTTGGGTCATTTTGGTAGCTTTCCGGCAATGGAAAAACGGCCAAAAATGAAAAAAACATTGTACATAGCAAGATTTTGCAGGGTTTTTGGATGCCAGAGCATTGAAAACACTGCAAAAACAAGTGTTTTGGACTGACGTTATAGCAAAAAAACGTGTAAATTACCGTATGTTTGACTGGAAGCATTACAAAAACACTGTCAAAAGCAATGTTTTGGAAGGATTTACTGCCTTTATGGCAAAAAAACGTGTAAATTACCGTCTGTTTGACTGGAAACATTGGAAAAACACTGTCAAAAACAATGTTTTGGAAGGATTTCTTATTGAAACTTCTTAGCTTGAAGAGCCCCCACGGGGGAAAACCACCCTTAGCCCCTCTCACGGACCGAAATAAACCTGCGGTGTGGGCGGCCACCCCACGCGAAGCGGGGTGAATAAATGTAAAACATCCCAATCTCAAACGGCTCCTGCACTGTTTTTTAACCCAATTTCCATAATTTCCATGTTTCATACACCTAAAAATTGCTTACCATCAATTTCTATGGTCAAAGTGTCCCCAAGTGGATGTGTTTATGCCGGTGAATCCCACCGGAAAGCTCGATCCACTCCTGCACTCCAGAGCTCGCAGGACGACGCAGGGCTCCTGCAGGCTAGCATCAAAAGCAGGGACTTAACCATCAAGAGTTGTCACTTCATTCATGATACTGTACCTGGGAACATGATGAAATATGGAGCTTGAAGGCTTGAAGTGAGAATTGATTGCGTTGAGAATAACATGCTGAAAGATAATGGGTGCTTTCAGGGCTGAGTGGGGCAACATTTGCTGGAATTGAGTTGATAAATCAGTGCACATTTGAAATTCTGTTCTACCCCACTCGACCATGCCGAGTGTTAGAACTGCGCTTGGAGCTGTGTTGCTGCAAGGTCCAGTTCACCAGAGTTCCGGTGCGAACTTGCTCCAACTACAATCATTGAAGCAGCTGCACCCAGCCTACCACCAACATCCACCAATCGTAGCGTTGTATATGAAAAATCAGCCATGGAACAACCATTGACAACGGTCTGAGGTTAGTATATCTTGGTTGATTTGTCAGGTGCAAAAAGCATCAAAAAGCTATAACAGGCTATTCAAAATGCTTTTCCCAATGCTAACCCTACAAATCCTCAGTTCACATCACCCAGAAAGTTATGTTTCCCCATGTGTTCCTAGTTTAAACTTCTTTTGCCGTTGTTCAATACAACCGCAGGGACTACCCAACAAGGATCGGAGACGGTCATCCTGCACTGACCTGCAGCTAACGTCTCAGCATGGCGCAAAAAAGGACGGCTGATCAACCTCCAAAGTGTTGAATAATGTGTATATATATATATGTGTGTGTGTGTATGTATGTATGTATGTCTGTCTGTATGTATGTATGCATCTGTATATAGATTTATTTAAATCATTTCTGTTCGTTTTCTGCACGCATCTTCATCTTCGTTGTGATTTGCCACGCCATGTGCGTTCATCTCCGAGCCACTGCGGCTGATCCAGAAACGTAATTTCCATCTTGCTCCCTTTCCACATAGCTTGAGAATAGTGGTTGGGATCCCATCTGTTGCGATATCTCTCTGGATACATATAAATATATATACTGTACCTATATGTATATATATATATATTTATTTATCTATTTATTTATTTATGTTTGTATACTGTATTTATGAGTGTATATATAATATATATTCTGTATATAAATGTATATTCTGTATGTATGGTGGCCAAGTGATGAAGGCCCATCATTGCACATGTGTCACGATCAAAGCTTCACAGCTCTTGTGCAGCGCTTTTTGTTCCGCTGCAGCTGGCAATTTCTGTGAGTTTCTGCCAGTCTCAAGGTCAGGCTATGCTGCGGTATGGGTCAGGGTCAGAATTTGCAAGACCCAAAACCGACAACAGCGAATTTGAGTACTTAGTCTTCATGCGTACACTAACAATCATCAAATTTTCTTGGGTTCTGCTCTCTATTTCGATCCAAACCCAGGAGGTGCGCATCTGCAGCGCAGAAAGACGAGATCAGAGAATTCTCTTCGGTCCTCAAAGCCACACTGGTGGCACATGGTGAAAGAAAGCCCTCTGGCAAACATAGCAAGGGAAACTCCCTATTTGTAAAATAGCGTGAAAACAATAATACATATAATATACACACATAATACATATCACCATTTTTATTGATGCATTTCCTCTGACCTGGGGAGATTCCTTTGCCAGGTCCGCCGTTCAACACTAATAATCCATCACTTGCCATACCCGGCCGTGGACTCTAAGGGCACGCGCACCAGCATCTTACCAATGTTGCTGCCCTTGAAGAGTCCCAAAATTCCCTCCGGCAGATTCTCAAAGCCATCAACAAAGGTGGAGCAATCCGAGATTTTGCCACTTTTCAACCAGGAGGTCATCGTGTCTTGACCTTGGCCACGGGGTATCACGGGGTCATCCTAAGGGTTGCGCGTTGCCAGCGCAGCCGTTGGCCATGGAACCTGGTAAGCCTTGGAAACTGGTGTATGGGACTATGGGATAAGATGAGATATGCCACATGATGTGTGATCATGTGTGATATATGGTGTGTGATAAACGAAAAGATGACAAACGATATATGACACTTGAAATATGATATGATATGGCGATCCTGAACTCGCAAAGATTAATATCAAATGATGATTGCAATGATTTCAGCATCAAACAGTGGCGCCGCAAGCACAACTCTTGTGCTGTCGAGGGGCAATCTTGGAGTTCCTCCGGTGTGAACTGGAAGAGCAAGAAACCTGTGCACGCAATGCGTGAATTCACGAAAAAAAACAGAAATGTCCTGAAGCTGCAATCCCAAAATTCAGGGGATGGGAATGAGGCTGATGCATAAAGCACAAGGGCCTGCAGGGGGATGCCTGATTGTGCTAAGAAACAGTGTCGAAAAATAAGCCTTGACAACTACGATGGGCCTGAACAAATCAATGGGTTTGAAAGATCATGTTGCTGAAAATCACCTTGTGTGGACTCATACGATCTTTTGGTTTGCAAAAATTGCAGTATGGCCTCTGAAATTTTACCCATTTTGGCCTTGCAGAATCCGTCAAGTCATGTCGAGTCAGGATCAAGAAATGAGGAATGGGGAATTCTTGCTGCGTGGCATGTCTCGCTCAATGAAGGCCTGATTTGTCCCTCCTGAGTTCGAAAACAACGCAGGTATGGCTTATTGTAATGGGTCACCCATTTCTGTTGGACATATCCGCTACCAAACGTGTGCATATATATATATATATATACATACCATACATATACACATATACATATGTTATATATATATATGTGTGTGTGTGTTTGTGTGCGTGTGTGTGTGTGTATGCACATATGTTATATATATATATATATATGTACGCACATATCCTCCTGAAAAATCCATGCCACAACTTTCCCCCACCATTGGCCTTCGATCCTCAGGCGCTTGGCCACGGCCTGGAAGAGGTTCCGCACGCCCCGGCGCTGCGCCGGCCGCGTGTCGTACTCCGAGATGGCGCCGCACACGGCGACCACACCTCCGTCGTTCAGCATGTCCAGCATGGCTTCCTGGGAACGGCTCAACAAGAACGACACCGTGACGCCAAGATGCAGATGGATAATGATAGATATGCATGCAGAAGATTGTGCAGATATTATACATATATATATATTATATATATATACATATTATGATTACATTTGTGTGCTAGCCATGGAAAGCAAAGCAGTTCCATTTTGCTTTCTACATTTCTAGCGGAACATATCCATTAAAAGAAACAACAACGACACATTGGGATGTCCGATTGCCAGGTGAGAAAATGCCAAGGTTCCAAGGTTTCGCCACCCACCTCAGATCTGGAGAGTTTCAATGCAGCAACCCCCCGGAAAAGATGGAATGGTAACTTATCATAATTGAAGGTGGATTTTGTATGACGTTATACTTGTTTAATAGGTTGTTCTATCTTTCTGCGGGTTGCTACCTATGTGTATATATATATATGGTCCCGGCGGCCGGCAACCCCCCCCCCAATGGTATCCCCCCCAGCCACCCATCCCCAGGAACCATCCCCATACATACATACATACATACATACATACATACAGACAGACATACATACATACATACGTGCGTACATACATACATACATACATACATACATACATACATACATACATACATACGTGCGTACATACATACATACATACATACATACATACATACATACATACATACATACATACATACATACATACTTACGTGCGTACATACATACATACATACATACATACATACATACATACATACATACATACATACATACATACATACATACATACATACATACATACATACATTACATACATACATACATACATGCCTATACCTACCAACCTACGTAGGTACATACATACTACAGCACCCAACCCACCCCACAGGGGGGGGGAAGCAGAGGTACCTTGCATGATAGTTGGATTCCAGGGAGGTAGTACACCCAATCCTAGGAACCATCCCCATTACATACATACATACATACATTACATTACATTACATTACATTACATTACATTGCATTGCATTACATTACATTACATTACATACATACATAACAAACATACATACATACATACATACATATATACATACATACATACATGCCTATACCTACCAACCTACGTAGGTACATACATACTACACCCAACCCACCCCACAGGGGGGGGCGGGGAAGCAGAGGTACCTTGCATGATAGTTGGATTCCAGGGAGGTAGTACACCCAATCCTAGGAACCATCCCCATCGCGGGGGGGGAGGGGGGGTTGCGGGCCTGTACCATATATATATATATTTATATATGCGATATGATATATACAGTTTTATCTATATCGATAAACCCAGCTTTGCAACCCAACAGACAGTTCCAGGGTTCGAGGGTTCCAGGGTTCCGTTCCGGTTGTCATGGCCGGCAAAAAAGCGCACCATCCCCAGACCCAGAGATTTTTCCACCCAACAGTCACTGCTGTTGCATCCCAGGATTTGGCTCCGCCCAAGCGCCAAGGCACATTATCAAAACAAACATTGATTCCATCTGGACACAATCGCTTCAGTCCCTCAATGACAGGTTCTTCCTCTGGAAAACGAGCCGTCTGAAATGTGGTGAAAACGTCCGTTGGAGAAAACAAGCACACAAAGAAGGGTCGCTTAGAAACTCCTCACCTTCCAAGGTCCAAAGTCAGGCCTTAAGATTGAAACTGTGAATATCGTTCAACCATGTGTCATCATTCTACTGCTGAGTCGAAAATTCCAACCATCTGGCGGTCCTTGTAATTGAAGGCTTCAAAGCCCTGAGACTTTAACATTTCCACCTGGGGCAGCTGGTTTGTTGAGGCTGAATGAGGCTGTTGAATGCTGTTGACTGAAAAATTAGGGCCAAATGACCCTCCGCGGTTGATCGCAGTGACAATGGTGGCAAAATCTTCGCGTAAACAACATTTACGATTGCTATTGCTTGTGCTATTACTATCACTTTTACTTTTGCTTGGTTCGGAAACTCTGATTCTAATTCCTTGGTTCCCCATTTCTTGGGGAATATGAATACAACATAAGACAACCATAGCTCCAAATCGTTCCCTCCGTTCACCACCAAATAGAATGTGATCCTTTGTACATCTATATTAAATTATATTAAACTATCCCGATCTCTTTGCATGTCAGAAAATTTAGGGATGGAAACCTTTATTCCCAAGGTTGATGCTTAAAACAACTCCCCCCCTTAAAAACGCCACGCCGACCCCCCCTGAGACCTTTCTCCATCTCCCCATCCGACCCGGTCAGGATTCTTTCAGGTTGATCTAAATCAAGGCCATGTGAGGGAATATCCTGACAAAATTGCTGCCTTATATGGTGCAATACCTCCATATCCATCCATATCCTCCATTTTAGGATCCTGAAATCTTCTGAAATTGCCATTTTCATCTCCCGATTTTCTCCCGATTTGATCACACAACCCTTCACCAATTCACCACTTGTCGTGGCCTGTCTTACTTAGACACTCTGCGAATTTTGAGCTGGTTAGCAAATTTATTCTTATCAAAACGGCAAAGAAGTAAGTTGTACAGCTATCACTCACCTCCCTTGGCACAGCTTTTTCACTGCTTTTCCCCCAGCTTCCTCAAAAATGATTCGTCGCTCCATGAAAAACTGATGATTAATTACAATCAAACCGATGATTTCTAATCATTGACTCTATTTGCTGGATCTTGGGTGCTCAGGGCAGGCTAGAAGGCGCTGAACTTGCTTCCTAGTCAAAAAGCGACCGTATTCGAATGCAAGTTCGTGCCTTCTCTTCAAATTCCAATCCCTGTGCCAAACCTCAGGATCGAGAGTTCGAATGTCAGCGACCAGGGCCTGATCAAGGCTTTAAGCTTACCCCGGTATTCGCGAGGGTAAGACTTAAGCAATTTCTTCGGGCTTCGCCGATAATCCCGGTCCATGCAAAATCTGCGCCAGCGCTTCTGTGTCCTCAGGCGTCGAGCCAGCAAGAGGACTGGCAAGCGCAGATAGTCGCCGAATTCCTTCAAAAATTCATTGCGCCTGTGCGCCGTCAAGTTCTTGCAGAAGACTCTGTCGGCCCGCGTGCGACAACGGTGGTCACCATGATCAGCATAATAAACAAAAAACAGCCTTCGCGCTGTGCGAATCGCACGCTTCGGAAGGCCATCCTGATGCATGACACCGAAAATTTGGTCGACATTCATTGGTGCGTGCACGAATTTCACTCGGTCCAATGTGGGTATAGATGATTCTCTCCAATTCGCCACGTGAGCTTTCCAAAGCAACCGACCGTCAGGGTTGAATGACGCGCCGTACTCGCACTCGCCTTGGACCTGAGTCTGCGTCAACTCGTTCAGGCACCCGCACTGCTTGCAGAACTCGATGCCTCCACGAGGAGCCCTCTTGTAGGTCGAGTTGAGTTCAAAGGTCCACTCGTGATTGCCACGGCACATCTCATCCATGTGTGACTCGGCCAGCTTGATATGAGGGTGGTGATGCACCGACCAGCAGTCATGATCACCTTTCCACCTGACTTCGCCACAACTCGTCACGACTATGCTCACATCCGTATTAACCATGGGTGGCATTGCAAGGGCGGTTGATAGAAACTTCCAATCAGAACTCCTCGAGCAAAAGCTACGAGGGAAGAGATAAACATGCTTTCACCGAAGATCGACGGCCGCTGGTTCAACACATGCATGAAACCGAGATGGCTTGCACCACCGTAGGCCCCAAACAGTGAGTGGATTCAAGAACAATTTTTAAGGAACAGGGTCAAACACATGAGAAAGCATTAAGAACCCTAACCGCACACTGCTTGGGAAAAAAATGCAAAATAAGACCACACGCCACAAAGGGAAACAAGAAGAGAGACAAGCCGGGAGACAAGGGGGAGACAAGACCTTGGGAAGGCGGACATACCATCCAACACCAAGGCGGACACCTTAAGAAACCTTAAGAACCCCTAAGGGAAACAAGAAGAAAGACAAGTTGGGAGACAAGCTGGTAGACAAGAAGGAAGACAAGCTGGGAGACAAGCTGGGAGACAAGGGAGACAAACCTTTGGAAGGCGGACACACCATCCAACACACGGAAACACGAAGGGAGACAATGGGAGACAAGGGGGAGAAAAGACCTCGGAAAGGCGGACACACCATCCAACACAGGCACACATGTGGGGAGACATTGGGAGGAAGGTAGACGCACCATCCAACAAAGGGAAACAAGAAGGGGCACAATGGGAGACAAAGGGAGACGAGACCCTCAGAAAGGCGAACCATCCAACAAAGGGAAACAAGAAGAAGCATAATGGGAGACAAAGGGAGAGAGGGAAACAAGAAAGGGTACAATGGGAGACAAGGGGAGACAAGAGGGCAGACAAGACCCTCGCGAAGGCGGACACACAATCCAACAAAGGGAAACAAGAAGGGGCACAAGGGGAGACAGAGGGAGACAAGACCCTCGGACAGGCGGACACACTATCCAACAAAGAAAAACAAGAAGGTGTACAATGGGAGACAAAGGGAGACGAGACCCTCGGCAAATGGAAACAAGAAGGGGTACAATGGGAGACAAGGGGAGACAAGACTCTCGGGAAGGCGGACGCACCATCCAACAAAGGGAAACAAGGAGGGGTACAATGGGAGACAAAGGAAGACAGACCCTCGGGAAGGTGGACACACCATCCAATAAAGGGAAACAAGAAGGGGACAATGGGAGACAAAGGGAGACAAGACCCTCGGGAAGGGCGGACACACTATCCAACAAAGGAAAGCAAGAAGGGGTACAATGGGAGACAAGGGGAGACAAGACGGGAGACAAGACCCTCGGGAAGGCGGACGCGCCATCCAATAAAGGGAAACAAGAAGGGGGACAAGGGGAGACAAGACCCTCAGAAAGGCGAACCATCCAACAAAGGGGAAACAAGAAGGGGTACAATGGGAGACAAAGGGGGAAGGAAACAAGAAGGGGTACAATGGGAGACAAGGGGAGACAAGAGGGGAGACAAGACCCTCAGGAAGGCGAACCATCCAACAAAGGGAAACAAGAAGGGCTACAGTGGGAGACAAAGGGAGACAAGACCCTCAGAAAGGCGGACACACCATCCAACAAAGAAAAACAAGAACGGGTACAATGGGAGACAAAGGGGGAAGGAAACAAGAAGGGGTACAATGGGAGACAAGGGGAGACAAGACTCTCGGGAAGGCGGACGCACCATCCAACAAAGGGAAACAAGGAGGGGTACAATGGGAGACAAAGGAAGACAGACCCTCGGGAAGGTGGACACACCATCCAATAAAGGGAAACAAGAAGGGGACAATGGGAGACAAAGGGAGACAAGACCCTCGGGAAGGGCGGACACACTATCCAACAAAGGAAAGCAAGAAGGGGTACAATGGGAGACAAGGGGAGACAAGACGGGAGACAAGACCCTCGGGAAGGCGGACGCGCCATCCAATAAAGGGAAACAAGAAGGGGGACAAGGGGAGACAAGACCCTCAGAAAGGCGAACCATCCAACAAAGGGGAAACAAGAAGGGGTACAATGGGAGACAAAGGGGGAAGGAAACAAGAAGGGGTACAATGGGAGACAAGGGGAGACAAGAGGGGAGACAAGACCCTCAGGAAGGCGAACCATCCAACAAAGGGAAACAAGAAGGGCTACAGTGGGAGACAAAGGGAGACAAGACCCTCAGAAAGGCGGACACACCATCCAACAAAGAAAAACAAGAACGGGTACAATGGGAGACAAAGGGAGGCAAGACCCGCGGGAAGGCGGACACACCATCCAACACCAAGGCGGACACCTTAAGAAAGCATTAAGAACCCCTAACAGTACACTATTAGCTCCAAATCGTTCCCTCCGTTCACCACCAAATAGAATGTGGTCCTTTGTACATCTATATTAAATTATATTAAACTATCCCGATCTCTTTGCATGTCAGAAAATTTAGGGATGGAAACCTTTATTCCCAAGGTTGATGCTTAAAACAACTCCCCTCATTAAAAACGCCACGCCGACCCCCCCTGAGACCTTTCTCCATCTCCCCATCCGAGCCGGTCAGGATTCTTCCAGGTTGATCTAAATCAAGGCCATGTGAGGGAATATCCTGACAAAATTGCTGCGTTATATGGTGCAATACCTCCATATCCATCCATATCCTCCATTTTAGGATCCTGAAATCTTCTGAAACTGCCATTTTCATCTCCCGATTTTCTCCCGATTTGATCACACAACCCTTCACCAATTCACCACTTGTCGTGGCCTGTCTTACTTAGACACTCTGCGAATTTTGAGCTGGTTAGCAAATTTATTCTTATCAAAACGGCAAAGAAGTAAGTTGTACAGCTATCACTCACCTCCCTTGGCACAATCTTTTTCACTGCTTTTCCCCCAGCTTCCTCAAAAATGATTCATTGCTCCATGAAAAACTGATGATTAATTACAATCGAACCGATGATTTCTAATCATTGACTCTATTTGCTGGATCTTGGGTGCTCAGGGCAGGCTAGAAGGCGCTGAACTTGCTTCCTAGTCAAAAAGCGACCGTATTCGAATGCAAGTTCGTGCCTTCTCTTCAAATTCCAATCCCTGTGCCAAACCTCAGGATCGAGAGTTCGAATGTCAGCGACCAGGGCCTGACCAGGGCTTTAAGCTTACCCCGATATTCGCGAGGGTAAGACTTAAGCAATTTCTTCGGGCTTCGCCGATAATCCCGGTCCATGCAAAATCTGCGCCAGCGCTTCTGTGTCCTCAGGCGTCGAGCCAGCAAGAGGACTGGCAAGGGCAGATAGTCGCCGAATTCCTTCAAAAATTCATTGCGCCTGTGCGCCGTCCAGTTCTTGCAGAAGACTCTGTCGGCCCGCGTGCGACAACGGTGGTCACCATGATCAGCATAATAAACAAAAAACAGCCTTCGCGCTGTGCGAATCGCACGCTTCGGAAGGCCATCCTGATGCATGACACCGAAAATTTGGTCGACATTCATTGGTGCGTGCACGAATTTCACTCGGTCCAATGTGGGTATAGATGATTCTCTCCAATTCGCCACGTGAGCTTTCCAAAGCAACCGACCGTCAGGGTTGAATGACGCGCCGTACTCGCACTCGCCTTGGACCTGAGTCTGCGTCAACTCGCTCAGGCACCCGCACTGCTTGCAGAACTCGATGCCTCCACGAGGAGCCCTCTTGTAGATCGAGTTGAGTTCAAAGGTCCACTCGTGATTGCCACGGCACATCTCATCCATGTGTGACTCGGCCAGCTTGATATGAGGGTGGTGATGCACCGACCAGCAGTCATGATCACCTTTCCACCTGACTTCGCCACAACTCGTCACGACTATGCTCACATCCGTATTCACCATGGGTGGCATTGCAAGGGCGGTTGATAGAAACTTCCAATCAGAACTCCTCGAGCAAAAGCTACGAGGGAAGAGATAAACATGCTTTCACCGAAGATCGACGGCCGCTGGTTCAACACATGCATGAAACCGAGATGGCTTGCACCACCGTAGGCCCCAAACAGTGAGTGGATTCAAGAACTGTTTTTAAGGAACAGGGTCAAACACATGAGAAAGCATTAAGAACCCTAACCGCACACTGCTTGGGAAAAAAATGCAAAATAAGACCACGCGCCACAAAGGGAAACAAGAAGAGAGACAAGCCGGGAGACAAGGGGGAGACAAGACCTCGGGAAGGCGGACATACCATCCAACACCAAGGCGGACACCTTAAGAAACCTTAAGAACCCCTAAGGGAAACAAGAAGAAAGACAAGTTGGGAGACAAGCTGGTAGACAAGAAGGAAGACAAGCTGGGAGACAAGCTGGGAGACAAGGGAGACAAACCTTTGGAAGGCGGACACACCATCCAACACACGGAAACACGAAGGGAGACAATGGGAGACAAGGGGGAGAAAAGACCTCGAGAAGGCGGACACACCGTCTAACACACAGGCGCACATGCGGGGAGACAATGGGAGACAAGGGGAGACAAGACCTCGGAAAGGCGGACACACCATCCAACAAAGGGAAACAAGGAGGGGCACAATGGGAGACAAAGGGAGACGAGACCCTCAGAAAGGCGAACCATCCAACAAAGGGAAACAAGAAGAGGTATAATGGGAGACAAAGGGAGAGGGGGAACAAGAAAGGGTACAATGGGAGACAAGGGGAGACAAGAGGGCAGACAAGACCCTCGCGAAGGCGGACACACAATCCAACAAAGGGAAACAAGAAGGGGCACAAGGGGAGACAGAGGGAGACAAGACCCTCGGACAGGCGGACACACTATCCAACAAAGAAAAACAAGAAGGTGTACAATGGGAGACAAAGGGAGACGAGACCCTCGGCAAATGGAAACAAGAAGGGGTACAATGGGAGACAAGGGGAGACAAGACTCTCGGGAAGGCGGACGCACCATCCAACAAAGGGAAACAAGGAGGGGCACAATGGGAGACAAAGGAAGACAGACCCTCGGGAAGGTGGACACACCATCCAATAAAGGGAAACAAGAAGGGGACAATGGGAGACAAGGGGAGACAAGACCCTCGGGAAGGGCGGACACACTATCCAACAAAGGAAAGCAAGAAGGGGTACAATGGGAGACAAAGGGAGACAAGACCCGCGGGAAGGCGGACACACCATCCAACACCAAGGCGGACACCTTAAGAAAGCATTAAGAACCCCTAACAGTACACTGTTTGAGGAATTACCTATGTTCTTTTCCATACCCCGCAGTTTCCCAGCTTCCCCAGCCCCAATCCACTATAGCAACCTCTCAAACAATGCCAAAAAAAAGGGTTGATTCACAAATAAATTTCGGCATCGACATCGGAGTTTACCTGTTTCATCCTGTTTCCATCTTTTAGGGATGTTACTACATGTTTCGAACCACATGTAACCACACTCTTCGGCATATTTTTCCCCCCAAATCCCCACCTTCTCCTTACTCCCAGCGCTCCCGATGACCCGGCAGCCCAGGTGTTTGAAGGTATGGCACGCGATGAGCCCCGTGGCGCCCGCCGCGCCGGAGACGTAGGCCACGTCGCCCTCCTTGGGCCGTGCCACGTATTTCACCTCGGCGCCGATGAGTGCTGCTGGGGTTGGTTCACCGAAGCCACAAATTGACACCATTTACTAAGTGGGATCCTCCAAGAATGGAAAATCCTATGCGATCTGATGTAATTTCATGGGTACGGGACAAAGGTTGATGATAAGAAATGGGATCTGGTTGAAATAATGCGTAAGCCACGAACCTGAAATGTTGTGTGATTTTGGGGCAAGAGTGCCCCTTCAATGCAAGGATGAGAGCGAAGGGGCTCCAAATAGGTCCCCAACAACATGGAAGTTGAGGAGCTAAGATATTTTTGCTGTGGCTATCCTTGGCTTCAGATGGATGTAGCCGGTTTGAACCCTTGTCAGTGAATGGTGTTATTCGGGCGAAAATGCGCATCCAAATGGGAGAAGATTTTTTACCAACTCAAAGGGAGCAAAATGGTGGAGCATTTGACGCCAAATTTCCATGTCCCACATTTTTTTTCCAAAACAGCCATTTTACTGGCAAGGCAACGGGCTCTTCATAAGACCCAATTCCGTCAGTAGAAATCCTACAGAAATTTCTGTTGATTAATGCGGTTAACCCAACCATAAACCATCCCAAAATCACCATGTTTATGGGTGGGATTTCAACCATCCCCAGTCCTGGTAGGTTTATGACAAAAAGTGTTTCTCACAATGTCCCAATTTATATCCCCATTGTTTAATCATGAAATCCCAACAGTTGATGTATTTCCATGTCCCCAGGAATTAATGACAGTTAAATCATATAACCATATATAACCACATGTATATATATAATTATATATATAATTATATAATATACCACTATATATCCATATATAACCATAATATGTATGTATATATATATACAATTATATATATATATATATGTGTGTGTGCGTGTGTGTGTGTAGCCATATATATATATATAAACATGATATCCGTGAGTCAAGTCCTTCAATTGCCATGAAACACCGCAATAGCCCGTTTGGGCGGTCAGCTCAAGGCAGCTAAAACAGGCCTCAGTGGCGAGTTCTTTCCTGTTCATGGGGTGGGTCACATCTCAAAATTAAACCAACTCAACTTTCTTCAGAATCTTAAGGAGGTGGGTGGACCCCCTGTTTTCGTAAGAGTTTTTTAATTAAGCCAAAAAAATTAAACCTAACTCAGTGTACACCTGGTTTAATTTAGCTAGTGCAAGGGATATTCTAAATATATGCTTATCTTGATCCTGTTTCTCGAGTTGCTTTGTTCATTCGGAATCCCTAGTGTTTGTTGGATGGCTATTAAATCTGCATGTTTGTTTGTCCTAGCCGATGTCGGCAGAGTAAATGTTGGTTGGTGCTGTCCCTATGTGGTTTAGTTAAATCATGTTAAATCCGCATGTTCGCGAAACGCCCAACTCCAATTTGGCGTGGCATTGCATCACCATTCCTTTGGTTGAAACCATGTTGAATCCGCATTTTTGCTGGTCAAGGATGGTCACAAGGCTGTTAATCCTAGCTTTTCCACATCTTTTCCCATCTTTAGACCATCTTTCACCATTGTATAAATTTCCAAGTCTTGACCAAAATCATTTTTTTCCTCCCATTTTTCCTGGTAAAGGATAAAAAAAAGGAAAAAGGTTGAAACTTGCCCCCAAAAAAAAAATCACACACACACTTTTTTCCCCGCCCCAGTCCCAGGCTCTGATGGCGTCAGCCCTTCCGGCACCTTCCTCAGGTTCTCCGCGTCTACAGCGTTCAGCTCACGCCAGGGTACCATGGCCAGGCAGAGGTCGCCTTTTTCAAAGCCCGGTGCCTGAGGATGGTTGCAAAATGTTGAAAATCCCCATGAAAAATGGCACTTGGGCATGGTTGATATTGGTTTATGGATGTTTATGGCATTGGACTATTGGACAAAAACGGAGTTTTGATGTAGATGTTCAACTGTTCTGGCGCTTTTTTGTTGGGCAATAAAAGAGTTTCCCTTTTTCACTGCTTCGGAGAAAGCCAGATGATATTTTGGGGGCTGACGTAGGGATTTATCGTGTCAAAAATCACCTGCAGCTTGGGATGTGTCAAAAATCCTGTGGCTGAGCCATGACAGTCTGAATTGGCATCATCCAAGGACAGAAAAGACAGTTGGATTGTTCACCAACTTTTTCCTTCCTGGCTTAGACATTGGTTGGTCAGGAATGTGCAATGTGGATCAATGTGGCATGTGGGGTGGCTGAAGGCTATTTAAAGTAACACTTCAGGACCACAAAGCTGGTTGGAGGTAGGACGTCCAGATAAAGTATGTCACTTTTGGGGTGGTCATTTTTCTTGCCGGCACCTGACCAAGCATTCCGGAAGCCCCTAAATAAAGTATCCCAACTGCAATAACGTCCCAAAAATGATGGAAAAGAAAAAGTTCCGGTTCAAATTTGAACCAGTTTTTGGCTCTGCATCTTAACTTGAAAACCTAAAGCTACAAAGCTCAAATCCTCTAAAAATCTCTCAAATTTGATACATGTCTAAACTACCTAGAAAGTTTTACCTAGCTACATGGTAAGCGGCTCACAGAGCGCCGCCTGTTTTTCCAACCGTGGCGAGTTCATTTTGCGTGTGTTTTCTCAAGGATTTGTGTCTGGGTCCATTTTTTTGACTCTGTTTAATCCTGCGATGAACTACTTCTTTTTTTTATTCTTCGCGTCAGACTTCCAAGTCTTTATGTTTCACATGGGTTTCAGGACTTGAGTCAGATTTCTATAGACATCATTTGGACCCGAGGAAGGTACTTGAAGAAGTAAAAAGCGTAGCAGCAAGAGCGTGTTGGAAGGTACTTGAACAAGTGAAGAGCGTAGCAGCAAGAGCGTGTTGGAAGGTGCTTGAAGAAGTGAAGAGGGTAGCAGCAAGAGCGTGTTGGCAGGTACTGGAGGAGGTGAAGAAGTGAAGAGCGCATCAAGAGCGTGTTGGAAGGTGCTTGAAGAAGTGAAGAGCATAGCAGCAAGAGCGTGTTGGAAGGTGCTTGAAGAAGTGAAGAGCGTGCATCAAGAGAATGTTGGAAGGTACTTGAAGAAGTGAAGAGCGAGCAGCAGGAGCGTGTTAGAAGGTACTTAGCATCAAGAGCGTGTTGGAAGGTACGTGAAGAAGTGAAGAGCGTGCAGCAAGAGAATGTTGGAAGGTACTTGAAGAAGTGAAGAGCGTGCATCAAGAGAATGTTGGAAGGTACTTGAAGAAGTGAAGAGCGAGCAGCAGGAGCGTGTTAGAAGGTACTTAGCATCAAGAGCGTGTTGGAAGGTACGTGAAGAAGTGAAGAGCGTGCAGCAAGAGCGTGTTGGAAGGTGCTTGAAGAAGTGAAGAGCGTGCATCAAGAGAGTGTTGGAAGGTGCTTGAAGAAGTAAAAAGCGTAGCAGCAAGAGCGTGTTGGAAGGTACTTGAACAAGTGAAGAGCGTAGCAGTAAGAGCATGTTGGAAGGTACTTGAAGAAGTAAAAAGCGTAGCAGCAAGAGCGTGTTGGAAGGTACTTGAAGAAGTGAAGAGCGTAGCATCAAGAGTGTTGGAAGGTGCTTGAAGAAGTGAAGAGCGTAGCATCAAGAGAGTGTTGGAAGGTGCTTGAAGAAGTGAAGAGTGTAGCATCAAGAGCAAGTTGGAAGGTACGTGAAGAAGCAAAGAGAATAGCAGCAAGAGAGTGTTGGAAGGTACTTGAAGAAGTGAAGAGCGAGCAGCAGGAGCGTGTTAGAAGGTACTTAGCATCAAGAGCGTGTTGGAAGGTACGTGAAGAAGTGAAGAGCGTGCAGCAAGAGCGTGTTGGAAGGTACTTGAAGAAGTGAAGAGCGTAGCATCAAGAGCGTGTTGGAAAGTACTTGAAGAAGGGAAGAGCGTAGCAGCAAGAGCGTGTTAGAAGGTACTTAGCATCAAGAGCGTGTTGGAAGGTACGTGAAGAAGTGAAGAGCGTGCAGCAAGAGCGTGTTGGAAGGTACTTGAAGAAGTGAAGAGCGTAGCATCAAGAGCGTGTTGGAAAGTACTTGAAGAAGGGAAGAGCGTAGCAGCAAGAGCGTGTTGGAAAGTGCTTGAAGAAGGGAAGAGCGTAGCAGCAAGAGCGTGTTAGAAGGTACTTAGCATCAAGAGCGTGTTGGAAGGTACGTGAAGAAGTGAAGAGCGTGCAGCAAGAGCGTGTTGGAAGGTACTTGAAGAAGTGAAGAGCGTAGCATCAAGAGCGTGTTGGAAAGTACTTGAAGAAGGGAAGAGCGTAGCAGCAAGAGCGTGTTAGAAGCAGTGTGAACAAGACGTTATTGCCCACCCCACCCCACCCCACCCACAGGCACGAAAGCACATGAAAGCAGGTGGCGTTCTACACGCCGCCAGCCAACTACATGTTGGGGGATTCGAATGGGGGAAACCTCGTATATATATATATAATTATCTCAACCCCTACCATGAATGGGGGCGGCGTATGAATTTGACGTCAACTGAATCTACAATCTAGACACAGCACCAAGACTTCTAAGTCTATTTGTTACATACCCTCTGGTAATCAAAGGTGGTAATGGGAAATCAGCAATACATATTATTATTAATTATTATTATCATTATTATTATCATTATTATTATCATTATTATTATACATATATATATATTGCATGGTTTTACTCGGAAACATCATCTACAAAATTTGTTGAAGGGGCTTTCCCAAAATGATACCAAATCATCCAGCATATGTCTATCCAGCACCAGCTCTTGGGGTACCCACCGCACCTTGGACTCTCGCACCACTCCGCAGATGCGCCACGTGGGGACGGATCCCACTGGCCAATTCATGAAGCCCCAATACTGGGAGCCCTCGGCCGGGGGAAACCAAGGACCAAGTTGAAGCCACCTGAAAAATGGAGAAAAATGGATGAAAAATTGCAAATTGATGGGACTTGAGGCTGTTTTCAACATGATACCATTTGATGTCATTTAATTGGGAAAGTTAGGAAAGTACTTCAAGGAACGAGGTTGGAATTGAAAAAATGAAATAGAGATACAAGTGAGAATGGGTGCCAAACATCTCTGGGATTGAAGAATTTTCAGATAGTCAACGAAACCCATCCCGATTTAAGTTTTTCGCAACTGGGGCACCTGAATCGTCGACGCCCGTTGTCCAATAATTTCACAATTCAGGAAGCACGACTGAAAAATATATCTGGAATTGCGGTGGCCCAAAAGGTATCTACCCCCACTTTCTGCTTGACTCATTCAGAACGTTGGCCGTTCGTACCTTTTTTCCCCAACGACCTTGTACATCAAATCCCAGCGTTGTGTTGTCACATCAACAACATATGTTTGTCCTCTTGATAATGAATGATAATGATATATCTCCATGATTTCCCAATCTTTTCTTGGTGATCGTTGTCAACCCCCCCATTCCATGTTAGTAAATCAGAATAATTCACCCACCTGAAGTATGGGCCCACCCTCAGATGATTCCATCCTCATGTCAGCCCCGAATAAGAAAGCCTGGTCGACTTTTTTTTGGGGGTGATGAGTTTTGCTACTTATATGGTACCCTATGATTATCAACAGCCCAAAACAAATGAACAAAAATCTGGGATCCACATTCACCAACAGATCCCCAACACCACCCGAAGGGCCGTTCGGCCACTTCAGGATGAGTCCATCATAGTCCAACCCTCCAACGAATAGCTATGGAAATCGCCCATTTATAGATGATTTATCTAAAAAAAAACACGGCAATTTTCCATAGTTTTGTTAGTTTATGTTAGTTTACCAGATAGTATTAGATCCCTATAAATCCCTATAAATCCCCATGGTATCCCTATAAATCCCTACAAAACCTGATAAATTTGCATGATATCCCTATAAAACCTTATAAATTTGCAACATTTGCATGATATCCCTATACATCCCCATTCTTGTTGGTTCACCCTAGGCCAAACGAAGCCCATCCAACTCCCCGGTCCGTTTTCCGTCCTGCGTCCGCGCAGCACCGTCCTCCCCGGCCATGGCATTGCGCATGGTGGGGTCCATGCTCATCATGTGGGTGGCCAAAATCACCTGTCGTGGTGATGCACGGTGATGGCTGATTTGCGACTTCAATGACCAGGATTTATATCAATGAATTTGTATGGATTTACATGGCCTTATATATATATATATATACGTGTGTGTGTGATTTGATATGATTATGCATATATATATATATATATATATGCGTGTGTGTGTGCATATGGATTTACATGGATTTATGTAAAATTATATGGCCTTAGATGGAGATTGATTTGGATTTAGATGGATTTATATGTATATATATATATACATATACGTATATGAATTTGGACGGATTTAGATGGAGATCAATATGGATTTAGGAGGAGCATGTGGATTTATTTTTGGATATGCCTATATTCCCCGCAAATAGTAGGGCTACAAACCAAGTTACTACAATTCGGGGTTCGTTCCCATTGTTCATAAAGCCGAGAGGATAGAAAAAAAATACATCTATCAATGGTGGATATTGCAGCCATCATTCGTTCAGCTTTCCAGGATGGAACACGGTGTGGGCTGAACGATGGCAGGATGTTCTGCTGCAGTTCCTCCGCAAGATTACTGACCCATGTGTTAATTTCAAAGCAACATGATTTTAGCACGATTTAAAAAATCTAGTGTTGTGAAATCCTATTTTGGTGTGTGACGATCCACGTGAACAAAGCAACACAATGTTTGTTGCTTACAGTAGATCACCTCTTTTGTGGGGATCACTGTCTTTTGTTGGCTAAATCACCAGATATTGCTTGAATATCGTACAAGCACGGGTCAGCATTGCTTTGGTTTTTTTTTACTAACTATTTCCGCTGCTTCTGTGCATTTTTGCAGATGACCCATGAAAACGCCAAATTACAAGCATCATTCAGAATAAGATCATCTCAAAAAATCCTCGAAAGATCATGAGATCTCCCTACTTTTTGCTTCAATCATCCGAAATCATCTAAAATCCCATGTTTTTCCACATAGAAACACGATTTTTCCACCTAAAAACACATGTTTTCCCCCACCTCCCACGGCCCCAGTTGAAATGGCGCCTGGTTCTCCCCGCAGCTGGGCACCTCGCAGGCGCGCAGCTCGAAGTCGCTGGGCGCGAAGCCTTTTGGGCCCGGCCTCATCTCTCGTCATTAATATACTATTTTATTATATACTTCAATGGATGTGTATATACATATATACATTATCTTTAATATACTTAAATGGGTTTATATATATATATTGTGTGTGTGTTACTAAAATTAAATTGCCATGTATATATATATTATATATATATATGGATATTTGAATGTAATAGACTAAAACATGTGGATTAATAGGCATAACATGGATCAATGATGGCTATTTATATATATATATATATAATGGATAGATATCTCAACCAACAATAGAGAGAGATGGTTGTGTTCGGGAAGGGCGGATTCATACTCATATAATATCATATGTATTATATATATATATACATATGTATGTGTGTGTGGGGGTAGTCATATATGTAAGATATTATAACATGTATAACATATGTAACACACATATGACTAATATACATTAATATACAGCCAGCCAGTAATCCCCCTGAATTACCTTGCCTGCTCTTGAAGACCCACTCTCGATTGGTCGCCATCGACTAAAAACCCCGTGTCTACGGACGGGGATCCACAGCAGCTCACAGCTGAAGCAGCAACCAATCGGTCACATGGAATCCCAGAAGCTTATGGTTGCCTTAAAATTGGTGGTTTCCTGCAATAGGCGTGCCCCCCAAATCATCGGAAAATGGATGACCATGACTTAGTATAGGTTACCGGGATCCTCCATTTTAAGAAACCCGCAACAAGAAAAGTGACCTACCACCATTTGAACCGAATTTTAATCACTATGCTGGGATTTGACTCTTCTATAAATGTTCCATAATTTTCGATCTTACTGTTCTATGAAGACAGAGCACGTGTGTCACCAACCCCAGAGACATTGCTTGGAGAAAGGTCGGTGCCCCTGGGGCCCCTAACTTCGCTACCCATCTTCTGGGTCGGTGAATCGTCCGTGTCCCGTGTCCCAAAAAAGAAACTTCGACACGTTCTTTGGATCACGATCTGGATTTTATCCATCCTTTAAGATCATAATCTGTATGTGATCACTTCTTTTTGTTGGATGTTTATTCATGATCTTTATGCCTTCAAAAAAAATGCCCGCCCATGAAAAACCTAGCCTTCCTCGATGATTTCCCCCGCTTTCCTGTTGCTCCACTTTTTCTTCCCGGTCCCGACTCGTTGGGCGGAGCCCCCGGATCCTCCTGGGGAACGGAAGGTACTGGGGGGGCGGTTTGTTGCTTGGGTACTCCATGTCAACAACCTCAATGCCGCTTCCAAAAGCAAAAAACAAGGTGGGCCAGAGAACCCAAAAGCAAGACGGCACACAGCACGCCTTTTCTTGAAAATCTTGGGGTGTGGCCAGCTGTGCTCTGCACGAAATCGACGTAAGATCTTTACTTAAACATCGTGCGCGCTGATGGTATCAGGGGCCACGATTCACCACAGCATGCTGTGTCAGCTACGCCTACAGTCTTCTAGTCGCTATTTCTGTTAATGTAATTAACTCTATCCCATCTGTCTAGTCGCTATCTATTTCTGCGTTCTCGTTTAGTTTGCTTCGCCGCAGAGGGAGCGAGCACGAAGCGTGGACGGACAGAACGAAATGAAAATTAAACGACAGAGGGAGCTGACCAAAAGAGCATGAAAACGAAGATATATATGAAGGTGACAGATGGCAAATGATCATGAAAAATGAGACATGATAAAAGATGGGTAAAGACTTCTCTGTACAAAAGCTTCTTTGCATAAAAGCTTCTGCAAGTAAAAGCTTCTGTGGGCAAGAACTTCTCTGTGTAAAGGTTTTTGGTGTAAAAGCTCTTGTGTGTAAAATCTTCTGTGTAAAACGCGCTCTGTGTGTAAAAGTTTCTGTTTGCGAAAGTTTCTTTGCGTACCAGCTTCTGTCTGTAAAAGCTCCTCTGTGTTAAGGCTTTGTTTGTGTAAAGCTTCTGTGTGCAAAAGCTTCTCTGTGTAAAAGACTTCTCTGTGTCAAAGCCTCTGAGTGTACAAGCTTCTCTGTGTAAAAGTTCCTCTGTGTAAAAGCTCCTCTGTGAAAAAGCCGCTCTGTGTAAAAGGCTTCTGTGTGTAAAAGCCTCTGTGTGTGCAAGCTTCTCTGTGTCAAGACTTCTTTGTGTAAAGATTTCTCTGTGTAAAACTACTCTGTGTAAACGCTTCCGTGTAAACTCTTTCCTGTGTAAACGCCTCCGTGTGTAAAGACTTCTCTGTGTAAACCCGTCTGTGTGTAAAAGCTCCTTTGTTTAAAGGTTTTTTTGTGTTAAAAGCTTCTGTGTGTAAAACCTTCGTAAAAGTTTCTGTGTGTAAAAGCTTCTGTGTGTAAAGGTTTCTGTGTGTAAAAGCTTGTGTGTATTAAAAACCCTTATGTAAAAGCTTCTGTGTAAAAAGGCCCCCTGTGTGTACAAGCTTCGCTGCGTAAAAGCCGCTCTGTGTAAAAAATCTGTGCGCCGTAAAGTTGTCTGTTTGTAAAACCTCCTGTGTGTGTGTGAAAGCGTCTGTGTGTACAAGATTCTGTGTGCAAAAGCTCCTCTGTGCAAAGACTTCTCTGTGTAAACGCGTCTGTGCGTAAAGGCTTCTCTGTGTAAAGGCTTCTCTGTGTAAATGCGTCTGTGCGTAAAAGCTCCACTGTGTAAGACTTCTCGGTGTACAAAGCTTCTGTGTGTGAAAGTTTCTGTGTGTAAAAGCTTTCCTGTGTAAAAGTTTTCTTGTGCAAAAGCTCCTGTGTGAAAAACTTCTCTGTGTAAAGGCTTTTTTGTGTAAAAGCTTCTGTGTGTACAAGCTGCTCTGTGTTAAAGTTTCTGTGCGCCGAAAGAATGTCTATCTGTAACACCTTCTGTGTGTAAATCTCGTTTGTGTAAGGACTTCTCTCGTAAAAGCTCCTCTGTGTCAAGACTTCTTTGTACAAAAGGCTTCTCTCTGTAAAAGCCTTTGTGTGTACAGGCTTCTCTGTCTCAAGACTTCTCTGTGTAAAGACTTCTGTGTGTAAAAGCTACTCTGTGCAAAAAAGCTTCTGTGCGTAAAGGCTTCTGTGTCAAGACTCCTCTGCGTCTGTGTAAACGCGTCCGTGTGTCAAAGTTTCTGTGTAAAGGCTTTTTTTGTGTAAAAGCTTCTCTGTGCATGTCCCATTTTTCAGCCTTTGCAAACCGTTTGACCGGTCTTGGGACCATTTGACCAGTCTTGGGTCCACAATTTTTTCAGGCCAATCGCAATGATGGCATTTGTCCTGAAAAAACCCGTGCCAACAGTTCTGCCGCAAACTATTTTCAAGGTTTCCTATCCGTCCAGCATGCTGTCTCGCTCCCATCCAGCGCACTTTCCCCAAGCTATTTTCCACGGTTTTGTCCCGTCCAGCATGCTGTCCCGCTCCCTCCCAGCGCAGTTTCCCGAAGCTATTTCCACGGTTTTGTCCCGTCCAGCATCCGGTCTCGCTCCCTCCCAGCGAAGTTTCCCCAAGCTATTTTCCACGGTTTTGTCCCGTCCAGCATGCTGTCTCGCTCCCTCCCAGCGAAGTTTCCCCAAGCTATTTCCACGGCTTCATCCCGCCGAGCATCCGGTCTCGCTCCCTCCCAGCGAAGTTTCCCCAAGCTATTTCCACGGCTTCATCCCGTCCAGCATCCGGTCTCGCTCCTTCCCAGTGCAGTTTCCCCAAGCTATTTCCACGGCTTCATCCCGTCGAGCATCCGGTCTCGCTCCCTCCCAGCGAAGTTTCCCCAAGCTATTTCCACGGCTTCATCCCATCGAGCATCCGGTCTCGCTCCTCCCAGCGAAGTTTCCCCAAGCTATTTCCCCAAGCTATTTCCACGGCTTCATCCCGTCGAGCATCCGGTCTCGCTCCCTCCCAGCGAAGTTTCCCCAAGCTATTTCCCCCAGCTATTTCCACGGCTTCATCCCGTCGAGCATCCGGTCTCGCTCCCTCCCAGCGCAGTTTCCCCAAGCTATTTCCACGGCTTCATCCCGTCCAGCATCCGGTCTCGCTCCTTCCCAGCGAAGTTTCCCCAAGCTATTTCCACGGCTTCATCCCGGCCAGCATCCGGTCTCGCTCCCTCCCAGCGAAGTTTCCCCAAGCTATTTCCACGGCTTCATCCCGTCCAGCATCCGGTCTCGCTCCCTCCCAGCGACGTTTCCCCAAGCTATTTTCCACGGTTTTGTCCCGTCCAGCATCCGGTCTCGCTCCCTCCCAGCAGTTTCCCCAAGCTATTTCCACGGCGTCGAGCATCCGGTCTCGCTCCCTCCCAGCGAAGTTTCCCCAAGCTATTTCCACGGCTTCATCCCGTCCAGCATCCGGTCTCGCTCCCTCCCAGCGAAGTTTCCCCAATCGATTTCCACGGCTTCATCCCCTCGAGCATCCGGTCTCGCTCCCTCCCAGCAAAATTTCCCCAAGCTATTCCCCCAAGCTATTTCCACGGCTTCATCCCGTCGAGCATCCGGTCTCGCTCCCTCCCA